CCAAAAGAGTGCACCCTGCAGATAATAATGCAGCATGTCACGGTAAAGTCCAAAAGAGACCAGTCGTCTCCTACACACAACCATCAACCACTTAGCTTGAGGAGATACGTAATGCGAAGTAAATCCGAGGTTGAAGTAAATCCAAGGGTGAAGTAAATAAATCCAAGCGAGAGCACAACACAGGTAAAAATTTCCACCGCGAAGGACCAAAGTGCGGGACAAAGGTCAGGACCGTAGTTATTTTCCAGCATGTGGCCAAGGTTATTAAGCCAATGGATCCTATTTATTCTTTCAATCTAAATAAGGTCATAAAGTTTTGTCTCCCTTAGAAAAGCAATTACTCTACGTATGATTTTTTCATCATCTGATAGTATATTTTTTATTGTAAATTCTTTATTAAGGATTCTGAAATAATTTTTGATATGTTGTCTATTTTGATTGTATTTATTGCAGGATGTGAATATATGGTTTACGGTGTTGGTGGTGTTGCAGATTGGGCATTGTGGTGGGAAGGTCTTTTCTATGTAGGGAGTGAGGTGTGTCAATCTTGTAGCGTTGACCCTTAGGCGGACCAACACCACCTCCTCCCTTCTAATTTTCCTGTGGGCTGTGTCCCACACTTCTATATTGGGCTTGATTTTATTAGGCAGTTGCAGGTCGGTCCACTCACTTTGCCACAGGAGATGGATTTTTGCTTTTATAAGAGACACAAAACACCTGAGATCTGTCCGGACTATGCTAAGGTCCAGATCGTCAGTTGACCAGGCTAGTCGGTCAGCCTGTTCATTGCCATGGATACCAGAGTGGCCTGGCACCCATATCAGCTTGATTGATTTGTTGGCACTATGTGGCTTACGGATGATATTACCCAGCAGTTCATTTTGAGTGGTTTCTAAGGATTTAATGGCTTTAAGTGAACTTAATGAATCAGAAAAAATGACTATTCTATCGTGGGTCGTCGATAGTACAAAATCAATAGCTTTATCAATAGCAATAAAGATCGATGTATGATTCGGCAGTCTGCATCTCAACTCACATTCATTCGACCATACACCTGCACCCACTACTTGCTCGGTCTTGGAGCCGTCGGTATATATATGAAAGAAAGGAAGATGTTTAATAAGGAGCTCTCTGAACCTCTGGCGTACCTCCACCTCCGGCGCCATGGCCTTGGTTGATGGAAGCCAAACTTCCATGATGGTAAAATTGGGTGTTTCCCATGGCGCTATATTTGTATGAACCAGGGTATCGATGGTAGAGAGATCTATACCGACTTTAAGGATGAGGTCGTGGAGTCTTATAGTAAAGGGCCTAATGGCTCCATTACCGTTGGGGTGGCTCGGGTCTCGAGCCACCTTCGCGGGATAGGTCAGCGCCAGCTGGCCGCGTCTGAGTCGGAGGGGAGGTACTCCTGACTCCACCTCAAGATACTCAATCCTTGTACATTTGAGGGCCCCAAGACAACTACGCACACATGCATTCTGCACAACATCCAAACCTTTCAAAGTTGAGGCCGATGCCGAACCATACACGATTGACCCATAGTCTACTTTAGACCTAATCAGGGCTTTATATATTAGCAAAGACTTTCTATCAGCTCCCCATTTATTTCCAGAAATGCACTTTAATAAATTTAGTGCTTTTTGACATTTATTCTTTAATTGACCAATGTGGTCTTTCCAATTAAGTCTACGATCAAAAAGTAGACCGAGAAATCTAGCAGAATTTTGAATAGGTATTGGGTGGTGGTCTAGAGTTAGCCTGATGTTCGGCATTCTCCTTCGTGAAAAAATTACCCCAATACTCTTTCTTGTGGAAAACTTAAAACCCCACTGGAGGCCCCAGTTATGAATCATATCCAGTGCCAATTGGATGCGATTTGCTGAGAATTCTGCATTACTGCTGGAATGCCATAATGCACAATCATCAGCGTACAGTGAGTATTTAAGATTCCGAGGGGAAGCTGGTAAGATGTCATTTAATATACACAAAAATAAAGTAGGTGACAAGACACTTCCTTGTGGGACCCCGTTCGCCTGGACAAAAATGTCCGAGTAAGTGACATTGTCAGAAAACAATTTGACAGCAAAAGTTCTGTCAGAAATGAAATTTTGAATGAAACAAGGCAAGTTTCCACGTAATCCGAGAGCATAAAGTTTTCTGAGTAGGCCATATC